ACTCCTCTGTCCTCTGGGCCCCTCCCTCCCCTCCCCTCCCTCCCACCTGATGACCGAGGCTCTGCAGGTGCCTGGCCCTGAACCCACCTGTACACCTGTCGGCCCCACACGGCTGATTGAACCAAGGGCAGCCAATCGCGTCTGGGCTACTGGCCTGGCACGGGCACGTGAGTGAGCCGATCAAGCTCACTCATTCATTCATTCACCCGCACACCCTGAGGTGGAGCGCAGGCCAAGTCAAAGAGACAAGGAGGGACAAAGAAGGGAGAGAGAAGGAGCAAGATGCCACCTCCACCCCCACAATCTCTGCCCCCGAGGGCCCCCGGCGAGGCATCAGCCAGCCCCCGAACAGCGCGAGGGCCTCCGGCGAGCTCCCCCCGATCCTTGCCGCGGTTCTCAGCTGTGGGAGCCGGCCACGCTGAAATTTTGAAGCTGGTTTTTGGTTCCCAAACTCACAGGCTCTTTAATTAACTCCATTCTTATTTCTCTCCACCCGAGGCTTCTGAGCTCAGTGAGGATGCAAGCCTACTCATCCCCAGATTAAACATAAAGACTTTTTACTTCCCGGCACTGTCCTCGGGCTATTTGGAGGATAACAAACGCTCAACCTCCTAACGAGGGAATGGTCCGGAGGGTTCCCAGGAACTGAGAGCTCATTCCCGCGGGGGCGGGGCGCTCTCCCGCCTTCACGGGCAGGTGCTGCAGGTGCGCTCGTTGTTCCGATGAGGGAACTGAGGCCCGGGAAAGGCTGCCTAGACCCCCGCTGTGGGAGCCAGCCACGCTGAAACTTGGAAGCTGGTCTTTGGTTCCCAAATTCACACCAGGCCAGCCTAGTCCTATTGCAAGGTCCTCATTCATTTCATTCAGCCAATCTATGGAGAAATGCTTTCTTTTTTTTTAATCCTCAACGGAGGAGTGAAGATATTTTTTCCATTGATTTTTTTTTTTTTTTTAGAGAGAGTGGAAGTGAGGGGGGAGGGGGAGAGAGAGGAGAGAGAGAGAGAGAAACATTGATGTGAGAGAGACACAGGATTGGTTGCCTCCCACAGGTGCCCTGACTGGGGACGGGGATTGAACCTGCAGCCCAGGTACGTGCCCTTGACCGGAAAGCGGACCCAAGACCCTCGGGTGTGCAGGCCCACGCTCTAACCCTGGTTCTCAACCTTGGCGGCACATTAGAATCACCTGGGAATCTTTTTAAAATCCTGATTTCTGGGCCTCATCCTCCGGAAATTCTGTTTCTTTGTTACTAATGTTGTGGCCCCACCCCATAACAAAGAAACAGAATTTCCGGAGGATGAGGCCCAGAAATCAGGATTTTAAAAAGATTCCCAGGTGATACTAATGTGCAGCCAAGGTTGAGAACCACTGCTCTAACCCCTGAGCCAACCAGCCAGGCCTGGACAAATGCTTATTTGCGTCTTTTAAAAGACAGGCACCTGCTAGGCTCAGGGGACACACCTGTGGCGGGGACGCCCATGGAGACCCCCGCACGGAGCTCCCAGAAGCCTAGCTTGTGTTTGGAAGCGAGGACAAGAACAAGAACAGTCCAGATGTGAAGAACGGGAGAGAGAGAGAGAGAGAGAGGAGAGAGCAGAGAGAGAGAATGCAAATAAAAAAATTTGGGGAAAAAGAATGCTTTCTCTTAGTTTTGCTGACTCTGCCGACCTCCACCCCCTTGGCTGGAGGCTGGTAAGGCCCATCTGTTCACTGTACTTCTATTAGAGCTTGTTTGCAGGTCCACCCATACCAACAGCTTGTGAGCACCTGGGCCAGGGCCTATGCCTCACTCATTTTGGCATCCAGGACAGTGCTTGGCACTTGGTACATAATCAATATATATGTGTGTTGAATGAATAGCCTTTAGCATGCCCCTAAAATTGCCCGTTGCTTTTTACATAATCACTTTTAAAATAAAGAAATGACAAAAAGATCACACATGCACACAGTTATTTTAAAACTAGTAGCCCGGTACACAAAATTCGTGCACATTAATAGGGAATTAATTAGCAGAAATATTTTAATATTGCTATTTGCCCTTTCTCTATAATAGAAGTGTGAGAGATGAAAGGAAATTAGTAAAATGTATATGAAAATAATATGTA